TTTTTTTATATATATAAATTTGTGTTGTGAGATAATATAAATGTTTGTTTTGCAATAGATTTGGGCATTTGAAGCGATCCCAACTTTGGGAATGAAGTTTGGTATGAAATATCCAGATATAATACCAAGAATGGTCGCTTGGGAAATGCCGAAGAGGTTAACGTCTGCTGCCATTGAGAATGTGTTGAATTCGAAGGAGGTAAAATTGTCTTTATTAAGTTTAATGGGAACAAATTGTGGAATTAGCTTCATGAATGACTAATGACTTGCACCTTTTAATATTTGCAGTTGGAGGTTAATTCCACATTGATTCCCACCGAAGCTGAACTCGAAGAGGCCTATTGGAAAGAGTTGAAACCAATCGTGGAAGAAGATGAGAGTGTTTCATATCATTCCGAAGGAGACGAGGCTGAGCAAGATGCCGAGCCACAGCATGCATACCACGAAGAGTCTCCTAGAGCAGCTCAACCACCACAACGTGATTTTGAGATCAACATAGAGGATTTATTGAGAACGGAAATTGAAAAACTTGAGGGAAGGCTACAAGCAGTTATATCGACTCGACTTGATCGGGTGGAGAAAAAGGTTGACAGGTTAGTTGAATTGGCTGTGGCGGGTCGGTTCCATCCAGCAACTAGTGCATTTGATGGTGCCACTAGTAGCACAGCTTATGTACCAGAAAATGAACCGAAGGATGAGTTGGAAAAGGAGGTTGGGTTTGATGATGTGACAGATAGGATTCAAAGTTAGAGGAGGAGGAGGAGGTTAGAGATAAAAGTGTAGGAGGGAAGGAGTTGGAAAATGAGCCTGGATTTGATGATGTGAGAGATGTGCCTGCCGCTGAAACAAATGTAGAAGCACGTGAGGAGGACCCAAAGTTAGAGGAGGAGGTTAGAGGCAAAAATGTAGGAGGGAAGGACTTGGAAAAGGAAGCTGGATCTGGGAATGATATAGATGAGCAAGAAAATGAAAAAATGATCAAGGAGAGTGTTGGAAAAGAAATAATATTAGAGGACGAGCGTCCCGATGTGGAGAAAGGGATTGCTGATTTTGTGACGCCTGAAAAGCATGATGTAGATACAAATGAATCCACGCAAGGTATGTAAAAATGAATTCAAAGTTAAGTTTTACATCTTTATATCCAAATGAAACAGATTTTCCACTTCAAATTGTTGTTATTTGCAACATATAGGGGACGTTGTAGAAATTGATGAGGCGGGATCCGATCCACTGAAAGGACGAGGGTATCGTCGGAAGAGAAAAGCGCGCTTACTGTGTTCTCCGTACACTGACCCGACGAAGAGGAGAAAGTTGTCGGACATCAATGTATACGATCCTTATCGAGAAGTAGATCCCAGCAAGGTTGAGGATTTTTGCAAATGGATGGAAACTACACCTTCGTGGTAAATTATTACATATAGTTGTAAGTACATGCGAAAGTAATGATAGTATTACCTAAATAGAACTTCGTGTTGATTTTGTTGTATGCACAGCCAAATTATACCTTTGTGCTTCTATGATGTTCAAGCAAAAAGTTTGATGGATCTTTCGAAAGAGGATGGTTGGATTAATGACAGTGTAAGTAATCCAACTTTAATGATTTTACGATAATGTCACAAAAGAATTCAGTTTGAATTTATTAGTTTATTTTTGTAGATTATGAACGAGGCCCTATATCAGATACGAGAAAGGGCTTCCAGATTTCCCAATCTGTTTCGGCAAGACTGTTGCATATTGGACACTTATTTCTATCAATTTGTTGTCAATGCATATGGCCAATTACAGTCCAGTAAAGAGCTCAAATGTAGTAAGAGTCTAATGAATTATGTGAGAGGGGCTACTCCGGAGCTCGGTAAATCTTGGAGGGACTATAAATATTTGTATCTTCCTTGTTGGACCCGCGACCATTGGTTTGCAGTTCAAGTCGACATGGAGGAACGGGCCATTTTAATGTTTGATAGTCTGAAGGGTCACATTCGCCGAGCAGCGTTGGAAGCTTACCTTTTGCCTCTACAGGTGCTTATTCCGTTGATAATAAAATCTCATGTCACCAGTGAAAGCAAATATAGTACGGAGAACTTCAAATTTGTCAACGTAAAAGATGTTCCCCAACAAGTGAACGGGTAAGAATGACTAATTTCATAATTAGTAGTACCATATTATCTTGAGTGTTGAAAATTAATACAAACATTTTACAACTTTTTTGTAGATCCGATTGTGGAATATTCGCTATCAAATTCATAGAATTTCTGCACGCAAATATGGACGTAAATACAATTCGACCAGATTACGTACCAGTATGGAGAAAGAAACTAGCTACAGAGTTGTTGGCTTGGGATTTTGAGCCGTAGATTGTGCTTTGCTCATATTTTTTTATATTTTTATAACGTTATGTAGTCACTTGGTTGTTTTGGCTTTGGAGTAGCAGCTATTTTGGAGTTTGAATACAATTTCAATGTGCATATTTTCCATTGTCTTCTATAACTTTAAAGTTTAGATATTGTCCATGTCAGGTTGTTGAGTCTTACATGTACAAGCCTACATGTTTTCCATTATCTTCCATTGTCATGTTCTTGCAATATAAGATGCACACTACTATCCTTATTTGCATAACGACTTAGAACTCGTAATGACCACACATAATGACTCCGAAGTCGTTTCAGTTAAAATTGATACTAAAACAATTTAAAACTCGTTCCCGAGACAAAAAACGACATGCATATCGTAGCAATGTTAAATACACACTGCTTCTCTAATTTTGCGTAACGACTCAGAAGTCGTTATGACCGCACATAACGACTTATAAGTCGTTTCAGTTAGAATTAATACTAAAACGATTTCAACCTCATTCCCAAGACACAAAAAGACATGAATATCGTTCCAACGTTAATTACACACTGCTTCTCTAATCTTGAGTAACGATTTAGAAATCGTTATAACCTCACATAACGACTTATAAGTCGTTTTAGTTAAAATTGAAACTAAAATGATTCCTACATCGTTTTCGAGACACAAAACGACATTCATATCGTCTCAATGTTAAATACACACTGCTTCTCTGATTTTGCGTAACGACTTAGAACACGTTATGAACCTAAATAACGACTTAAAGGTCGTTTCAGTTAAAATTGATACTAAAACGATTTCTACATCGTTTTCGAGATACGAAACGACATTCATATCGTTTCAATGTTAAAGACTGCTTCTCTGATTTTGCGTAACGACTTAGAACTCGTTATGAACATAAATAACGACATAAAAGTCGTTTCAGTTAAAATTGATATTAAAACGATTTCTAACTCGTTCCTGAGACACAAAACGACATTTATATCGTTTTAATGTTAAATACACATTGCTTCTCTGATTATCGTTTCTTCTCGTTCAGAACGACATTAATATTGTTCTAGCGTAATGGTTTCTGAAAGTTGTTGATCCATCTCGTTTCTTTACAAATCTGACGAGTTCGAAATTGTTTCAGTTGAAATTATAAGTGCAACGACATCGGTATCGTTTCTTCACAGTTGAAACGACATTAGTATCGTTATGCTTAAAAATGGTGTTTCGGCCATCAACGACCACCGGTATACGTCCCACCGTACGTATGACGATGAAAACAGGTCATCGAGCCTGCTCAATCTCACTCGAACGACGCTATGGTAACATTTGTTATTTCATAGTTGTCTTTCACACTCATATTGTTTCCATAGAAATAGGGTATCTCTGTTGGCTCTTTCGGACCATTCGAGAGCTACCGGCCCACTTGTTACGCTCTTTCGATCGTCATACACATTTCGGAGGTATGTGGAGCGGTCAAGGAGGATCGAAACGTCATTTTTAGTTATAACGACATTAATGTCGTTTCATCTGTGAAGAAACGATACCGATGTCGTTGTACTTATTATTCCAGTTGAAACGACTTCGAACTCGTCATATTTGTAAAGAAACGAGATGGACCACGTTACGTTATTTCACTACTTGGTACATAATGATATTTATGTCGTTCCTTGTATAATTTTACGACTTCTAACACGTTTCAGTTTGTAAAACATCTAAAACGACCTCAAAGTCATTTCTTCAAGAACATAACGGTATTTATATCGTTATACCTAGAAACGACATTTCGACTGTCCTCGATTGCTGCACATACCTCCGAAATGTGTATGACGATCGAAAGAGCGTAACAAGTGGGCCGTTAGCTCTCGAATGGTCCAAAAGAGCCAACGAAGATACCCTATTTCTATGAAAACAATCTGAGTGTGAAAGACAATTATGAAATAACAAACGTTACCATAGCGTCGTTCGAGTGAGATTGAGCCGGCTCGATGACCTATTTTCATCGTCATACATACGGTGGGACGTATGTCGGTGGCCGTGGATGGTCGAAACGCCATTTTTAAGCATAACGATACTAATGTCGTTTCAACTGTGAAGAAACGATACCGATGTCGTTGCACTTATAATTTCAGCTGAAACGATTTCGAACTCGTCAGATTTGTAAAGAAATGAGATGGATCAACTTTCAGGAACAATTACGCTAGAACAATATCAATGTCGTTCTGAACGAGAAGAAACGATAATCAGAGAAGTAGTGTATATTTAACATTGAAACGATATTCATGTCGTTCTGTTTCTCAGGAACACGTTTGAAATCATTTTAGTACTAATTTTACCTGAAACGACTTCTAAATCATTAGTTTTGGTCATAACGAGGTCTAAGTCGTTTCTCAAAATCAGAGAAGCAGTGTGTATTTAACATTGAAACGATATTAATGTCGTTTTGTGTCCAAGAAACGAGTTAGAAATCGTTTTAGTATCAATTTTGGCTGACGCGACTTAGAAGTCGTTATGTGTGTCTATAACGATATCTAAGTCGTTACTCAAAATCGGAGAGGCAGTGTATATTTAACATTGAAACGATATAAATGTCGTTTTGTGTCTCAGGAACAAGTTAGAAATCGTTTTAGTATCAATTTTAACTGAAACGACTTTTATGTCGTTATTTATGTTCATAACGAGTTCTAAGTCGTTACGCAAAATCAGAGAAGCAGTGTATTTAAAATTGAAACGATATGAATGTCGTTTTGTATCCCAGAAACGAGGTAGAAATCGTTTTAGTTTTAATTTTAACGGAAACGACTTTTAAGTCGTTATTTATGTTCATAACGAGTTTTAAGTCATTACGCAAAATCAGAGAAGCAGTGTATTTAACATTGAAACGATATGAATGTCATTTTGTTTCCCAAAAACGAGATAGAAATCGGTTTAGTATAAATTTTTAGGGAAATGACTTTTAAGTCGTTATTTATGCTCATAACGAGTTCTAAGTCGCTACGCAAAATCAGAGAAGCAGTGTGTATTTAACATTTAAACGATATGAATGTCGTTTTGTGTCTTGAAAACGTGGTATAAATCGTTTTAGTATAAATTTTAACTGAAACGACTTTTAAGTCGTTATTTATATTCATAACGAGTTCTAAGTCGTTCAGAAAAATCAGAGAAGCAGTGTGTATTTAACATTGAAATGATATGAATGTCGTTTTATGTCTCAAAAACGATTTGTAACTCGTTATGTTAATCTGTACAATTTTTGAACTGGAACGACATTCATGTCTACTGTAACGACATGAACGTAGTTTGCATTCCCTGTGAGAAGATAGGAACATAAATACCTAAAATACTAAAATTTGATTCCAACGGTACAAAAATATTTCAATAACACAATGAGTACAAAATCTAATAAGTGATTTCATTCAGTTGATATAATAAGTACGAAGTCGTACAGTTACAAAATAAGATAGTGTTACAACATTAATGTTCACTACTAGCTGCTTGGCCCGTGCAAGTGGATCGAACATGACCATTTTTCTTGCACCTGCTGCACTTACGAGCCACACGCGTCTCTCCGGCCGACCTTTTCCTCTTTTTTGATGGTCGTCCGCCCTGTCTTCGTACCAATGGTGGGAATACTTCTCTGGCTATCACATTCTTAGGAATTTGCCATTCGACCTCGTTCGACAAAGGATATACGAATTTAGAATAAGCTTAATTCCAACAAATACTAGTGTAAAAAGGGGTACATAATTTATAGCCCTCGCCTCCTTTAAACCTTGCTGCAGCAATTGCATGCGCACATGGAAACTTGTCCAAATCAAATCTTCTACACGTACATGTCATTTCATAAAAATCCACAAAGTGGTGTTCTAAATTGTCACCAACTTGATAAATGTCCGGAGAAACCTGATTTACCTCCAACCCATTTGACTCATTATATGTCATGCACATCTTTTTCTCTAATGCTGGTGTGAGTTGGGTCACATATTTTTCTGCTTCAACATGTCTTTCATAAAACCACCTTTGTAGTATCCCACGAATATATTCTAGTAAACCAACTATGGGAAGTTCTCGAGCACTCTTCAACAAACCATTTATAGATTCCACATTATTTGTAGTCATGATATTGTAACGTATCCCGGTAAAATGCGCTCTAGCCCAACATTGAAAATCTTCTTCTAATAGGTACTCTTTGATGCCCTCCTTTTTACTGCATAGAGCTGCCATGTAGAACTCAAATTCGGTTACAGTATAAGCCTCTGACGCTGCCCTAAACAAAGTTGCAACATCACACCGTGGAAAATTTGTCTTCAAGTTCTTTTGCAAGTGATATGTACAATTACCATGATGAGCAAATCGAAACACATTTCTAATTCCATTTTTGATGCACTTTGCACGATCAGATATAATCACAAGGTCATCCGTATCACCTGTTATTAACCGCAACTTCTGAAAGAACCAAGTCCAGGATTCATCATTTTCCGAATCAACTACTCCCCATGCGAGTGGAAATATTTGAAAATTTGCATCCTGAGAAGTTGCTACGAGTAGAGTACCTTTCATTCTCAATGTCAAGAATGCACTGTCTACAGAAATTACCTTTCGCATTGAGTTTACGAACCTATGTATACTTGGTCCCAATGCCATAAAAAGGTACTTGAAGCGCCGATCATCATTAGTATGAATGAATGTCAGTGTACCAGGATTTTGCATCTCCAAAACATGACAATACGCTGGCAGTTTCGCATAACTCTCACGGGGTTTCCCATGAATCAGTCCACAAGCAAAATTTTTAGCCATGTAAGCTTTAGTATAGCTTACGGTTATGCCGAACTCTCGACGAATGTCATTAATAATGTCCCTTGGTCTGTAAACTCGGTTGATATCTTCATACTTAGGAGCGATGTGGTTTCCAATAATCATATATGAAGCATGCCTATGATCTCTGTGACGAACACTCATGGAGCAAGAATGATGACCATTGTACTTTCGAACTTCGAAAATGGGACTTTCTACGATCTTGGTTGCCCGTAAGCGCCACTTGCAATTTTCATCAATACAAACAATTGTATAAGTGCTCTTATTTAACTTCTTAACTTTGTACTCAAACTGGCACTTCACAGCTAGCAACTGTAATTTTGATATTAGGTCATATTTCGATGGAAACAACTGGTTGACTCGCATTTCTAATCGTTCCGAAATTTTTACTGATGTCTCGTAACAGAGCGAACTTACACTTTCAGATACAATCTGAGTACATTCAACATCATTACCATTCACTATATCCCTACCGCAAGGTTCATGCGTGCGTAACTCAAAATTATTGTCATCTGCCATAATTAACTTCGTCATCTACCCTTCGGGGACTATCTTCACTTACGTCAAAACCATTACAATCTACAAATATTCCATCACCATTGTCATCATTACCATCGTTGTCTGCTCGAACTTGTTCCTCCTCGTTGTTCATATTTCCAATTTGTTCTCCACCATCTATTACTAATAAACATCCTTCATCACCAAAATCTTCCTGATTCTCAACAACTTCATTTAAAATACTTACACAAAGAAAAGTTTTTGTAAAGACGGATATAATCCACTTTACGTTGTTGTCACAATCAATTATGATTGGTGCAGCTGGAGCTTTAGACATTATCGGGACAAGAGCTGAAATCTCCATTTTGTATAGACTCGTATCGATATTCAATGCCTCCTTAACTTTATCATATAGTTCCATGTAAGAAATTGTTTTCGCAACAAGAATAGGTATTGTTTTCCCTTTGCCATTTCCATAATACTTCCATTTCCATCCACCTTCAACTGTCTGCTCATATTCAATTGGATAACAAACCGATATCCATACCATGTCCATGGTGTCCATAACCTGTAACTCAACATATAAATTTCATCAAATTTCAAACGTCATATAGTATTGATAATGATATGTACATTGTCATGGATTTCAGAAAACGATATCTATGTCGTTCTCAATTTCATAAAACGATATGAATGTCGTTCTGTACTGAAAAAATCAAATACACGTTTCACGTGAAAACAATGTGAAAAAAGCCAATCATCCTTCACCTTCAATTAATACTAAGAAATACAAATAAGGGGTAATGAGAATAAGATTGGGAAGTAACCCATTTAAAGATCCAATCAAATCATAAAATAAATTCAAAATCATTATAGAAAAATGAACACCACAAACACATATACAACAACATGAACGGATGATTCAAAATAATGGAGAAAGAAAGTGGCTCAAATATCGAAAATTTACCATACCCTCTCTTCTTCTCCAAATGCCCACCATACCCTCTCTTCTTCTCCAAATGCCCAATAAAAATATAGCAAGACTTTATTATTCACTTCAACCAAATGAATGTTCAAGGGAATGAGAATGTAGATTTTGTGATTTCATTAAGTAGAGAAGAAGATGATGATAAGAAATCAGCATGGAGGCATCTACAGTGGTTGAGTCGTTCTTAGATGAGGGAGGGAAGGAGATTAGGGTTGAAAGGAAATTGAAATGAAAATAAGGGCAATATCATCATTTCACATACAAGGATATTTTAGTCTTTTACAAATTCTATTTTCCATATTTAATAACTTTAGGCCTTTCAACTAAAAGTCTTAGTTCTTGGTCTTTTTGAATAAATGTTTAGTTTGACCAAGCCTTTTAAATGAATCCCCCTTAATTTAATTATTGTAGTTGTAATGAGTTATGCTACACTTACAAAGGTGGGTAACAAAATTGGTTGACAAAGTAACATCCACACCAATTATTTCAATAACAGATTTTTAAATCATTTCAAATCTATGGCCTGAATTTTGCCAACACACTTTGTAATCCAACTTTGTAAAACTAGCTTTATTGAGTTGTAATTTACATGAAAAATGTAAATTGTCCTATTACCCTTTTAAAATTAGTCAACAATTGGTCAAATCGTTGGCTTTGGGTCAACTAATAGGGAAGTAACGGTTTTTATCTATTTGAACTCCAATTGCAAATTTTTGTAAGATTTGATACCGTAAGTGGTATAAATGAAAGGTTTTGATCAAATCGACTACTAAAGAAAAGGTTTAGTATTGCGACTACAATTCTTCCTTTTGATAATAAGGCCCCGTTTGGTAGTATTTTTTCATATCAAAAAATTGATTTTTTGACCGTTATTTCACTATTCCAATTAGGGATGACAATCGGGTTCATCTGCTCGGGCCACCCGTGGCTTGGCCGAAAAAAAGCCCGAGTCGACCTGACTCAAGGCTCGTTCTACTAAGTCCCAATCTGGGTTCCTGAGAAAAGCCCGGGCAAGCCTGTATCTCGCAGGCCTTTATATAGATATATAAGGCAACAATCTGCTTCCTTAAATAATGCAGCAGGTTGTTGCCTTATTTGTTGAAAATAAGGTAGAAGGCTATTGTTTATATATTAATAAATAAATAAATAAGAACAAAAAAATAAAAATAAAAGAGCTTGTCCGGCTCGACTCGAAAAGGCATGAGCATAATTTTTTTGGCCGAACTTTTGCTCGGTTCGGCTCAGCTCGGGCTGGAAAAAAGCTCGGACATTTTACCCTAGCAAAGCCCGAACCAAAAATTTCGGCTCGCAAGCGGCTCAACTCGACTAGTTGACATCCCTAATTTCAATTTTCATTTTTGACTTCTTAACTCACATGTGGTCCCCACTTTTCTCCCCTAATGATCAAAAAATCAATTCCCATAATCACTACCAAACGGGTCTTAAAACTTGAAAAGTAGGGTTCCAAGGTAATGTTCTATTTATAAAAAGTTGTGGAATTTTCAAAGTTGATCACCTATTGGTTTAACGAAATAGTCCAAGATTTACAAAAAAATTTCTTCGCCAATGAGGAAAACGATGTATAAATAGATAAACGAAGATTGAATTAGAGAGACGAACTGAGTTGCTAGGAAAGAAAATTTTCCAGCCATACCTTATGTGCACACAATTTTACGGTTGGAACCCCTCCTTCGTGTTTTGCAAGTTCAACACAAAGATCTTGAAAATTTTGAAGCCATTTAGCCCTCATTTGTGGGGTTAAAATTTATATTTTAATTTAAATCAAAGTTAACAATTAATTTTAATCATATATTTTATGAGATCCATAACTTTTCAACCACACATTTCATTAACTTTTATTAAAATTTGCCAAAAATCCGATCTTAATCCGCATCAAAAGGGGACCTGTCTCTTCAGATTGAATGATTCTCCTCTTTTCCAAGAAAATGACTTTCTGGGTTCAGATTTTAATTTGAAAAGTAAGGGACGAAACTTAGGCTCGATTGAGAATCTGTTAGTAGCTTTTGATGAATTGAGAATGAAACGGAAGTTGTTGGCTTCAGATCGAACTTTTGACGTCCATTTTTCTCTTTGCATCATCAAGTAATACTCTTTTGAAAATCCTGTCCCTCAGCTAAACAATTCCATCTACTCAGTGTACTTCACCTTCAACACGGCTTCTTCCAATGGCCTCTATAGCCGAAAACGCCCTTAAGGATCAGTGGATTAAATAAAAAGAATCTGATGAACAGCGATTAACCAAAAGACGTAAAAATGGACCATCTTTATCATCCTGTAATGACCTTGTTTCACGTTAAGAGTTCCAAAATAGAAGCAGATAAATGGCACACTTTACAAAGCAGCCTCAATGACTACTGCATCGACATGAAGATTACAAGCACAATATACCGTGGAATTTATTGTCAGCCTGTAAGTTTCTTGTGTTAGAGACGTCTTCTCAATGATTCTCCTATGACATGAAATAGTTTAGGGCATGTCTGGTACAATAGTAAAGATTTTAGCTTCTTTTTCTTCATTCAAATTGTCGATTGTACATTCCCAAACATGGAATTGCGCACTACACTTGGCTCCACAATCCCTAACGGTCGGGAGAATCAGCCTCATCCATCAACGAGCTCTAACATTTGCCTACAAAGTTGGAATCTCCACCAGTTTCTGCCTCTCTACAGTGTCTTCTAAATGAATTCCTAATAGGGTAATTGTAAGTACAAAGAAACTCATCTTTGTTCATCAAAATGAAGATCATTCAGCATTTTAATTGACTATTAGCAGATGCTTACAGGATGACCTAATTTGGTGGTTCCAGAATCCACCAGATATCCATTCTGAAAATTTCCAAAGCAGAATATACGAATATACTCACAAGAAGGTATGCAGAACATCTTCTACTATGTGGTCAACTGCTTTTTCTAATTTCTTTTATTGTTTCCTAGCTAAACATTATATCGGTTCAGTAATTTTCATCCCTTACCAAGAATAAAGGGAAGGAACTTTACATGTACATGTTTTGGCCTTTCCCATGTTGGCAATGGCAAAATCTTCTAAAAAATTATACCTGTTATTCTTAGCTCCTGGCCTTCTTTGCAGCAAAAAGTTGGCGAAGAAAAGCAAATTTTCCTCTTGCTCGAGCAGAAAACTCAGTAATAGCCCCATTGCTTGTCATTGCTTCCACAGGGTTAGGTTCAGACAAAGGCGGAGACTGCGGAGGAAGTGTGGAGAGGAATTCATTGAGTATCCGAACAATCTGACTGAAACTGGGTCGCATATTAGGATCCTCAACCCAGCATGACTGTATAATGATTGCTAGATCTGTTGGGATGTCTTCAGAAAGATTAGGCCGCTCTTGCTGCAGTCCCAAGCGATAGGTTTACACACCAAGTGAAATTTAGTACAAGATAATAATTACATTTTACCTAATCACATAATTATAATGACATAAATAACAAGCCATAGACAAAATATGTCCATGGGGAAGATAATAAAATTGATTTATGAAGACTCAAAATAAGATATGATTTCCAATTTATACTTTTAATCACCTCATTCTTGGCAGGCAAGTACAAATTGATGGTTGCCAAACCTATGCTAATGTTAACACACACAAGTGACACATAATTAAAGAAGCAGCCTCTCTCATGTCCAAAACTTGTGGCTTCATCAGATATAAAAAATGGAAGCTTCATCACAAGATCAAATCAGATACTTAAGCTTTTCTAACATGCCCAAATGATAGATAATGGATAGTCAAAAGTAATCTTTCAATGGCAGTCTCTCTTAAAGTCTTCACTTTAGTATCAAGCCAAGTCACTTAGGACTAGAGCTGTAAATGAATCGGATATGAATCGAATCTTCATAAATTAGATCCGATCCATTAAGAATAATTATTCGATTCGATCCAATAATCCAACAGATATTTGATTATTAAATTCATATTCGATTTGCTATGTTAATGAATATTCGGTCCAATAACCTGATCTGAAATTGAAAAATTAGAAAGATAAAAATTTTATATTAGTCAACTTCTTAGCCCTAGAATAAAAGGCTCGAATAGCTTTTTACCTAATTCTTGACCCAAATATTTATAAATTGCAAATCTTATGATATTCCAGTGAGTATTCGATATGGGAAGTGAGAAATTGGAAATAATAAAAGCAACTCCAACTATTGGCTTCTTTTGTTGTTTAATTTATAAAATAAATTAATTATTATTTTTATCTAATTTTAATTAATAAAAACATTAAATCTCTTCAAATATTTTAATTAACAATATTATACTATTGTCAAGTATTATTTATTATTCATTATTCTAAAATTATGTATAAAGTATAATACAAGTTTCAAAATGAAAAAAAATTATGTGTCATTAATTATGCGATAATATATAAAATATATTATATTATTATAATAAATCGAATCGAGTTGACCTATATCCATATTTGCTACATTTAATTAATGGATTATCGTAGTCGGATCTTGATCGGATTATCGAATTGAGATTCTAAATCCATCTCCTATTAATTTCATCAAATTCGTATCAAAATCCAATCCGTTGACAATCCTACTTAGGACCTTAAAGAAATCAATTTATTACAGTATCATATTTAAATGCTGTCAGTCAAACTTCCTTAATAATCAAGTTTTTTCATAGAGTTCACAATCTTGACACTATGAACAAATAATCGACAATTGAGTTTCATATGTTAAAAGTTTTAAAGACAGTCATGCAACTGGCATGAATCATCTATACTTGTTCCTAATTGCTTCAACAAAATATTCTCCTGTGCTGCACTTGGTGATAATAGGTAAATGAATCAACCATGCTCCGAGACCAGGTGGACATAAGTGTCTTCTCCTAACAAATTTGACTGGATTCAGTGAGAACTGGAAATAAGTAACTTAGCATTTGTAAGAATTAGCAGGATACGGAAACTGGTCTAAAGCCAGTCTATGACTACCTGGCAAGTATGGATAAATAAAAATAAGGTCATTCGTTTAGCAAGAATAGATATTTGGCGTAACGACGCAGCCTCAAGTCCCGTTAACTTACATACTGTCCGCTTAGGCTCTTCCATAGCGGACAGTAGGCAAGTACACAGCTTGGACAGAGAGGCTGAGTCGTTACATTTGGGTTTATCAATACTCAGGTCTCAAATTAAGTGTCCAGCTCTGAATTTCAGGAAAGAACTCACTTCGGTAAACTTGCATCACAAACTTCCTAAGTTGCTCTCATTTTTAATATTGGTGACAGTCCCATGCATATAAAAATAGCATTTGAATGAACAAAATTAATTGCCAAAAAAATGTCATCAAGTGGGTATCATTGCTATAAAAAAATTCTAGTGATTATTATTTCCATCAGGGTAGTATTGTTAAAAGATTATCCAACTTTGCAGTAAGTTTCCATCTATTTAGCAGTACTTATAATATCATAGAAGCCATTCCACTTGAGACAGACAGAGTAATGAATAAGCATATCCAAATCTGATGGCAGACACCTTGGGACACCATAATGATCAAGAAGCAACCTATGAATGAATTACAGAATACAATTCAGAGAGACTGGGATTGCAACTCCACCCAACATTTTGAATTTTGAAAGACAAATTCCTGCTTCCTAGAAGTTAAATTTACTCTGTTTTTTTCTACTTTAGCTCTTTCCATTGTGGCTACTAGATACATGTTTTCCATTTGTTTTGGTTCATAATACCGTGCTTGACATCCAAACTTGGAAAAAATAGTCAAAATGAAGCGGATATCATATGTAATTCTTTTTCCAAAAATATTTACATAAGACAAACATAGATAATAGATGGTTTGTGTACCTTGAATGCAGCTGCATAAGCAGCCTGCAAATTTGACATTCCCTCAAATGGCATGCGATTTGTCAGTAATTCCCAGAGGACAATACCAAAACTGTAAACATCAACTTTGTTATTGTAGTGCTTCTTCTCCCCTTGACGAAGTGTCACAGTACTATACAACTGCAAAGTTCAATTATGTTTCTGATAAAAAGTTCAAAATATTTAAGACCTAATGATCAGAAACAATACAATGAAATTAAATACAATGATATTGAGCTTCATAACAGCACATATAATAAAAGACCAGAAAAGATTCAGCAAAACAACATAAAATGTGGAAAATTTAATTGACTCCCCGTGAATATTTGATGTGGTATGTTAATTTAGGGAGAAATAAACCAATAGTGGGCGAGAGATCAAACTAAAAAGAAACTACAGACCTCTGGTGCCATCCAGCGATATGTCCCAGTTTCTGCAGTCATCATCTCAGTTACAGTTTCTTCTCTGGCAAGACCAAAATCTGCAAGCTTCACAGACTTGTGATTGGCAGTGAGCAACAAATTGTCTGCACCATAAATTTTCATACATGTTCTCAGTTAAGAGAACGGAAATAACATCAAACTAAATGAAATTCCAAAGAAAAAAGAGAGTGCATTGGCACACATTCTGCTCTGTCTGGTGACGTAACATAAATTTGTCAGATATCAATTGCATATAGTAAGAAATAAATATATGTAAGTCAGCACTGCATAAATAAATTTCAAAATTAATTCAAACTCATCTTTGTTTCCCTGTTTTTCTTCGTTTGGGATAGATAACATAACAACCTAGACAACAGAAATTAAAGAAAAAAATCACACCATAATGCGATATCCATTCACCTACTTGTTAAAAAATACCACCTTCAAACTGACTCTTAAAAGAAACACAATTTCAAATCCTAGAGAACAGAATATTAGAATCTACATTGAAACAATAAAATTGTTCCAAACTACAAAATATAACAATAGTATAGATGAGTAAAATATTATATGGCTCAGTGCCCCATCAGATACCAGGTTTTAAATCTCTGTGTATAATCCCATTTGTGTGTAAACAGTCCATGGCTCGAGCAATGTCAAGAGCAAAATTTAACACCATGTGAATGTCCAACTGCTTTGGACGCATGCTGGACAAATACTTTCTGAGTGACATTCCTGGTAAAAGTTCTGTAACTATCACCATCAAAGGATCTTTACATGCTCCGATAAACTGCAAAGGAACACATTGTATTATGCTTCGTGTCAGTAATTAACAGAGAGGGTGCTTCTAACACATGGGTTGAAATTATAAACAGTCAAAATTGTGCACATCTTAATGTAACATCGTGAATTAACAAACAGACAGATTTAAGCACCTATTTCAAATACTGACTTCAAAGAAATAAATCTTAGCAGCATGGTTCACTAAAAAATAAAAAATAAAAAAATTGCAATTGTATCCATCTCTCTCACCTTAACAAGGTTTTCATGCTTTACTCTGGACATCATCATCACTTCCCTAATAAAACGACTCTCAAGCATAGCTCTTTCTTCTGATGTGTTGCCACAGTTGAGAACTTTGATGGCAACAATTCGATCCCCATACCTGTAAAGGATTGAACCAACATCTTGATATCTAAAAGAGATGCCAATAAGACCGCACAAAAAAAGTTGAACTCTAAGCAATATGATGCGAAGATGCTAGTTTGTCATTTTGAAATCACTGCAAGAACTAAACAAATCCGTAACTATTCATTGCAGCATTCGCAAGTGACATTTAACTTAAGTCTAGCAATGGAACAAACAGAACATTTTAATAAAAAAAAAATCAATGCATATATAACGAATCGTAAGAAAAAGATATCACATAACTGATAACATCCAGACGCAAGACAGTCAATAACACGCAGCTTCAAGAGAAAATACATATTATCAGATCAAAAGAAAAATTCAATATTTTTATTTTGACATGATAAAGTAAACTGTAAGATTCGCATTTTACACAACTCATTGAAGTTACTTAGCTACAAGAATCAACAATAGCTGAGAACATTAATTGATAATATGAGATAAGAACATAAACCACACATACTTTCCTTGATATACTTTGCCATGAGCTCCCTCTCCAATTTTCAACCCAATAAATAGGGATTTTGGGTCAATAAGCACATTTTCATCGATGATTAAACGTGGGGAGGCCACAATCGATCCATTCTGAGACAACACCCCTTCGACTGATTTCCTCGCAGGCTTCTCGCACTTATCATGCTCTTTGCCTCTGCTTTTACTGCAACTCATCTTTGCAACCCCAGCCTCTCCCGCCCCCCACCACCCCAAGTATTAAACTATCCCAAAAAGACTCATAGCATCCACAAATTTCAAGTTATTTCATGGAAAAAATTCCGTCCTCTATCAAATTACAGTTTCAGGAATTCCAGAGCTAGTTCCTCAAGTTATGAATAGAAAATTCAATCCAGCATATACTTCAAAACCATGTGAAAAATCACCATTCACAAATTTTCAACTGTTCTTTATTTTTTTTTTTCTAAATGAGTACAAGAATACAGATTGATCGCTCAAGACAAATCTCAAATTAAAAACAATAATCTTCGAAGAAGGCCTTAAATCCCTCGAAAATTTTACTAGACTTGGAGGAAGAAAAAAAAAAAACTTGTAAGAAAATTCAACTTGAAATTCAAGCCTCCATAGTATTGAAAATATAAAGACGCAAAATAAAGCAAGCAAGCAAAAAAAAAAAATGTAGAGAAGACTTACAAATAAAGCCACTGTTCTATATATACATACGCATGCATATGCATATGCGAATGAGATTGATACAAAAAAATTGAATCTTCAACAAACCCGAAATTTTAAAAAAATATATTATTTTTCTTAATTAAATTCTTTTTTTATTTGATTTTCCCCTTTTTCATCGTTGCTAATGGCGTTAGAATGGTGTTTTCAGGGCATATCTTCAATAGGGAGAGAGAACCGGGGGGCGTTTAAAGTGGTAGAAAGTAGGAGAATAATAGCATGTGCACAGAGTGATGTTACTGTGGCCAATGACTAAATAACGCGTGGTGATATAAATTTTTAGTGTTGTACGTCACTGCATTAGAGATTTGGACGTTCCTGGTTCAGGATGCAGAAGCGAGGGTGGGAAATACAGACAAACAAGTCTTTGTTTTGTGGTTTAGTAGACTCGATTGACTGAGCTCATTTCGATTTTAGCCCCCCATTAAAAATAATTTTCGAGGAAAATAAATTTTGAAATAATGAATTTTTAAAGAATGTGTGATTAAAAAATAGTAAAAAAATCTAAATTCACGTATAAGATATTTTATTATGAAAACGTACGATTGAAAATGAGTTTTAGAAAAAAATGAGTTCACTAATTAGCTATACCCATGTTTGATTTTGATTAAAATTTGATTTTAATCTGAGTTAAAGTCAAACAATCAATAATAACCACATCTTTTATGAATCCCACAACTTTTCAATTCACATTTCAAAAATCACTATCACAATCTACTAAAAAAATCTAATTTTAATTCTCACCAAATATCCTCTAGATTTCAAAATCGTAACAGCACTGCTAGTGAAGGGGAGCCTGGCAAGGAAGGTGTGGGATGAGGTTTGGCTTGGATCATTTTTTTTTTCCTTTTAAGGAATGGGCCTTTTCTTTTTAACCTTAGGAAGCTCGTTGAACCTATGATATAGAGGTGACGTCCTAACATGGAGGAAGAGGATCTAAAAGATAGGCAGCTTAATGAAGCTGTGATACAAAGGCGATGTGATTTGAAAATGGAACATTGTAGCATAAGCCTCTAAGCTGATGATATTTTTTGAGTTTTGTGCCATTGATTTGAAAGCTTTAACGTGTTTTTAAGAAAATCAGCCAAGACATCATCAGCTTTCAAGACACCCATCTCCTAGGTCATAACCGCTAATCGTGACAGTAACTATACAAGCTCAAGCCACACGACCATAAGCGCATTTGAGATGAACCTCTTCATCTGAGCCTATTATCAAGTTGGGCCTTTCACCCTATACCCTTGGAGGCATAACCTGCGATTTACCTCCCTCACGATACTCCGGGGTAGGGGTGGTGGGGAACCCTTAAGGTTAGAGTTTAACCTTTTAAGTTGGGCCTTTCATTTTAACTGCCTGGATAAACTGATAAATGAATGATAAGGTTCATTCTTGATTCGATCCAATGGTCGAGGTTCATCGTCTCTACCTATAAAAGGCCTCTATTATTTACTTTGCAAGTTTTTACTTTTGCTAAAAAAATGGAAAATAAACAGTTACCCTGTCCTCTGAATTTTTGACAATCTGGCTTCCAATTTTGACAGCATTCAAGTGTTATGACGAGCCTCTATTTGGAGATGCTCTTCTTTTTAGGTTAATCCCCATTTCAATCTCTCTCCATCATTTTTTCTTTAGTACACAGATAAAATGTTTGGGACTTCTGGAACTGATTTCTACGAGGCAAGGTTAAGTGACTTGGCCATTCTTTCTTCCAATTTTAGCATTCTTACTGAACTTACCTTGAAGGAGATATCTAGGGCTGTGAGGTATGGTGAGAATATATAGAGATGACTTGATGTCCCAGTAGACACCTCAATCAAGTAGGAGCTTCCCATGTTCCTTCAAACATGACCTCTACCAAACTGTAAACCATTAGAGAGCAATATAGAATTCCGGATAGCATAGGCCTCATAATCCCCCAAGCCTCATGAAAGGGTTTGCTACTTGAGGTTGGGGTATGTAGTTGCGAGCGAGGCCATTCTAAAGGCCAAACTCATATTATCTATTCACCCCGCTCTTCCGCTTCTTAATTCACTCCTGTGGCCTTACTTTTATCTAACCGAACTCGAACTCTTAAAGCCAAATGTTTGGGTTGTAGATGCTTTAACACAAGGTTGTGTTGGGCGATGACATGCCCTTCTCTATTTTTTCACTCTATCTTCCTTCCAAAAATATATTGGGAAGAGGGCAAAAATTTTAAGGGATCGTACTATCTGACTTTATGGGGATCCCATGTTGGCATCTACATGGGCCTTAACGGATGTAGTACATCACTTTGATTACCTTGTTTGTGGCCTCAAGTAAGTTAGGTAGGATAGTGATGTGGAGTGTGGACCTTGTTAGCTGGTTGTCTCGTGGTGTTCTTTGGAACCTTATGGAAGAGGCGTAACAATTGGGTCATAATTTTTTGAATTTGATGAATAGAATAATTATAAACTATGGTACAGCTTGAATAAAAATTACAAAATTCATAAACTGACATTTTTATAATTTACATGGTGAAAAATATAGTTAAAATAACTTAATGTTTATATGTCATCAATGTATTTATTATTAAAAACTTGATTCCTTTTGATCTGGCTTGCTACTCGAGGTCGATGCATAACTGTGAACGAGGCCATTCCAAATGTCGAACTCAGATTATCTATTTACACATTCTTTTCCCTCATAATTTGCTCCTATGGCCATGCTCTGATCCAACTGAACCCAAAGTCTTGGAGCCAAATGTTTAAATTGTGGATGCTTTGACTCGAGCTTGCGCTAGGCGAGAACATGCCCTTCTTCATATTCTACTCTATCTATATTCCAAAAGCATGTGGGGATGGGGGCAAAAATTTGAACGAACGGTACTATCTAACTTCATGGGGTCCCATGTTGGCCTCTACATGGCTCCTCGACGGAGGTGGTACATTAATCTGATTACCTTGTTTATGGCCTTGAGTGAGTAAGGTAGAATAGTGATGTGGTGTGTGGACCAGGTTAGACTAGTTAGCTGGCTGTCATGTGGTGTTTTTTGGAACCTTGCTAAAAGAAGCATAACAATTGGATCATAATTTTTTGAATTTGGTGAATAGAAAAATTGTAAATTGTAGTAGAGCTTGAACAGAAATTACAAATTTTATAAAATGACATTTTTATAACATATACGGTGAAAAATATAGTTTAATATAAGGGATAATTGCAACAAAGGACTCAAACATTCTAAACGTTAACAGAATTTTTCCAAACCTTTGATTTGTTAAAATCGTCATCTCTAACATTTTCAAACATTGCAACTGAAGTCTTTTTGATAATTTCCGTTTATAATTCCGTTAGTTGACCAAAAATCTAATTTTGATCACATTTCTAATATTTTAAAAAGAATTAAAAGAGTCACTTTCTATTTTTATCACATTAATTAAATTAATTAATTAAAAAAATAAGAAATAAAAATTAAAAATTAAAAAAAAAACACACACACACACACACATTGTCACCTTCTTCCTCTCTCCCTCACTCATCTCCACCTCAAACCCAAAGTCCACCTAACCATCACCACCGCCACATCCACCTCCATCCCACTGTATCCAAGTAATTATGTGCACGAGCACCCAAATCAAAATAGCAATACATCTGAATGGTCAACTGAACTTGGCGAGGAGGCTAAAGTTATTCCCATTGTAGTAAAGCTAGGACACAGTCGCTTCCAATTAATTTGAATTTGAACAAGTCTAATTTGAGTTTCATGTTTGGTCTTGTTTAGTCCCCAATTTTGAATGTAGTTATTTAATTTAGATTTTGAAGCCTTTACCCCAAGGACAATTTTCTATGAGCATAAGAAATTTCTTGAAAATCCCATTTATGAAGAAGGCCATGTTACAAGGAGGAGGAGAAAGAGATGGGGCTTGGGTTAGGGTTTTGGTCGCTGTTGTAGGAGGTAGGAGGAAAAGAAGGGGCGCTCAAGGAGAAAGATATGTGTGGACGGAAGGCGCTCGACCGGAGCTCTGCCAAAAAATTTCTTCACCGAGGACCTCGGTGATAATGGCTGTGACTGAGGAGGTGGCGAAAATGGATGTTTGGGAAGGATTGGTTGGGGTTGGTGCTGGGTAGGTCGGGGAAGAAGATACAGACTTTTTCCCTTTTTTTTTTTCATTTTTTAATTTAATTAATTAATTATGTAATTATTTAATTTAGTAAATAGAAAGTTACTATTTTACCCTTATTAAAAATGTGGTCAGACTCAATTTGTTGGTCAACTAACAATAAATTGGATGTTTTCCATCATTGGAGCTTCACCTACAACGTTTGGAACAATTATGGGTGATGGTTGAAATAATTCAAATGTTTGGGAAAAATTTGCTAACGTTTAAAAGGTTTGGGGCATTTGCTGCAATTATCCATTAATAACTTAAAGATTAAATATTTCATTAATATTTTTTTCTTCTTTCAAGCTATATCACTAAATCAAATTCCTCTCTTCTATAATTTCATGACGCGTGAAAAATGAAACAGAAGATTAGAATCTTGGAAATATAGGTTAGATGTATTGGAGATTGGGATTGGTTGAACAGCAAAAAGTTTTCTACCTCATCGTATGAGGTTTCATCACTGATTATGTGGCAATGATATAACAAGCCGCATCAAGCCCGCAATTCACATCATTAGCTTACTTGGCCTAATCAAGACAATAAATAGAGGGAGTTAAAATGATGCGCTCACCTCAGTCGAGGCGCCATGTGAAGGTCGAGCCTTCTGATCGAGGCGATGTGCCACGATTTGCTGTAGCTCATTTTTGAAGCATTAAACCTTTAATTCAGCAAAGGCAATTTCTTAGCTTTGTCTCTTTTGAGAGATCCTTCGTTTGATTCATTAATGTGACTTTTCTGTAGCAAAAGCCTCTCAGTCAGCTTCAGCCTACTTTTTCAGTTGTTAGACAAGGTTATATGGTGACCACTTTTTCAGAATCATTAAATGCTCTCTAAACCTAGGATTGTAGAAGTGACACCTAGGCATCGACAAGTAATATGAGGTCACGTATCTTTTATCCAACAAATACTACTCCGCCTCTTATATTGTAAAAGCTCACTTTTTTTGTCACTTAAAGATAATGCATTTTCTGCATTGTAATCTCGCTCATTGTTTCCTCCCTATAACCCGATAACCATGCATACTCTCATATATATATATATATATATATAAGGACTTCATTTGGCTCTCATTAAATTACATTCCATTACATTTTATTTTTTTCTATCATATTTTCAACCACACGATCTTCCATAAAATAATGTTACACGTAAATCGAAAATTTTTCCTTCTTTTTCAACCACTCATTTTTCAAAAAAACAATATTCCTTCCATTTTCATTACCAAAAAATGGGAGCCAAATGGGGCCATATATAAGTTGAGATCCGTTGACAGTATTGTCAATCGAAATCAGCGGAAAGGGGGAAAAAAAAACAACGATGGAAATTATATTTTCAAACATTTAAGAAATATAAATCTACATATACTTTTTAAATAACGTGCGTAAGCTTTATAAATAAATTCCGCAATAAAACTTTACCCATGTGAATTGGGTTGATAAGATCGAAGACACGTGGGTCCTTATTACAATATATTATCCTATGTATGAATTCAGCGTGTGCACGTGCAAAAAATCACTTTTTTACATGTAAGTGGATTTGATGTGATAATCACTCATTTATAGTTTAAAGCATATTTTTTCTATTTTATTTTTGGAAAATGTGATTTTAATTTTTAATATTTATTGTAGAAATTGAAATATTATTCGACTTAAGATTTATAATTCGTAGGTTTATATCAACATAGGAAATTTGAATATCATATATTTTTATTTTTGAAAACTAAATCTTGAAGTTTTGGAACAAATCTACATTTTTCACTTTTCACAATCTTTAACAATGACATTCAACTCCACATCTATATGACTCCATTAGCACAATTCCACATCTATATGAGTCTATGACTCGATCAACTTCACGTCTATTTGACTTGATTACCACAACTCCACGTCCTATTTATTAAAAAAGGGACTTGATAGAATCAATTAGAGGGCCTAAAAGTCTGTGGTTTGCTTAATTTTAAGAATTCGTACGAAGTGGATACAACACAGTTTTAACAAACTCAAACTTTCAAAGAAAACTAAAGACAGTAATTACAAAAGAGTTTACAAGCTATATTTCCTAGAATTGAAGATTTTATTGCTGATTTATAGATTGTCATCATGTTACCTCTTTCTGATTATGATCATGATCTTCTTTACAATTTGAGTGAATGAGACTTGGATTGGTTTTATTAAAAGGAAACCTACAACTTTGTCCATTGAGTGACGTCAATATTATTTTCTTGTTAAAAATCCTCGAATTGGGATGTCCAAATCGTTGCTGCCTGTCCATAAAATAGAGAAAGTGTCGCCTTTCCTTATTGCGCTCAAAACTTTTTCAAAAATTCTATCCAAAGCGATGAGCTATCATTTCTCATGCCATCGGATCATCCATTCATCCAATCAAATACATCATTATCCATCTTTCTTGTAACAGTAGTTTATGATTTGTAGTATCAACACTAAGAAAGAACAATTAATGGCCCACCCCACTGTTGAATGGATGTGGAAATCCAATTTTTATATATAAAAAAATATGCATAGCATAAAATAATAAAACCCATAAAAAGTAAAATGCTTTGTGAAGAGAACTTTCACTAAAGTGATGTGAAGATGGTGTGCAATCTGCTTGCTCATACAGAAACCAAAGGCGAATGAAATTTACCCACCATTCTACGCGTGGTAAAAATATTGGGGGAATAAATTGCAACAAAGCAATGTTTATTTGTTTTACTAATTAGTATGTTCCATCAATCAAGCACCATCAGTTATCAATGATCACCAATAATGCAAGAACATAGTAATGTCACCTGGTAATGCCAACATTGTCTGAAAATGGGTTATAATGGCTTCAGCTGCCTACAATAACTATTTCAGGAAGAAACCAAGATCAAAACAAAAGTACAATTAGCTTAAAAAGTAAAAGCACAAGAAAATTTTGTGTTGAACCCTCCTTCCAACTTGCACCTGTATAAATACATGTCATTCTACACATCCCAACTCCCTAGTTCCCCCGCCTTCCCCCCCAAACCACTTCTCCGTTTCACCCTTTGGCCACTAATGGTCTAAACAATTCATGTTAAGTTGCAAAATGCAGAAAGATCAGAATTTCATCAAAAAATATATGATTGAAGCAGGATGTGTTTAAAATTCAGCCAATATTCATCATTCAACTTTCGCTATGCCTCCACTGGGTATGCTGCTATCAGCAACAGTCTCTCTCACAAACCTAAAATTGGCAAGAAAAGAATTGGCATCAATCATAAGCGGCTGCACAAGGTTCACGAGCTTAAAATAATTGATTACCAGTAAGTTAATAATTTGGAAGAAAATGAAGCAATCACGGAGGAGACGAATAGTACCTCACTAATTTATCTCGAGATGATTGCAAAATGTAAATTGAGAGCATAAACGAAAGGATAAGACCTGATCGTTCAAAATTCAGCAGATAGAAATAAGAACTACAGTGCCAATTATCAATTTTGGGTATTTTGCCATTCCAAAAGCATGTTTACCTGATCCAAAGAGAACATAGAATCCAGAAGCCACGTCAATCTCTGAATGCTCTTCCCTATCATAAATCAGAACATGGTGTTAGATAACATCAACTGTGATATGTGAAAGACAATAAATGGAATTGATATAAGCTGAAACAATAGGCACCCCAAAAGATGCAGATCAAATATACTGGACCAAAAACAGTACCCAACATTCTGAACTTGTAAATGAAGCTGATGCTCAACTCAAAACTACGTCATATGTCTCTAGCACTGGCATCTACTTGTTAATCCTCGACTCCAGGAGATCAAACAAATTACAGACAGAACAGAGCAATGCTTTCTATGGGACATTTAACATACACACAAATTTCAAAGCACCGGCAAGCAAGATTCAAAGTTCAGATCATCCAAGTTGGCAATCCGTAAACTGCAATATATCAGCAAACTTATAGAAAATACATTCTCAAGTTCAAAAAAGTGGTTTGCATGCTTTTCCTGCATGTGTTACTTTCCACTTGATATGTGTTAAATAAGTTTTAAAAAAAAAATCCAATCAACAGTTAGCTAAAATAAATCAAATCATTGCACCAACTATTACGAGTTTTAGTGTCATAGTCATCTGGGAAGTACAAAACATGCTAAACATATTGCCCACGTTTTATTAAACGTAATGCACTCCTTTTCATGCATAGAAATTCAATATCCAAGTATTTGTGACAACAAATTGATTAAACAACTGCCTACTTTTAAAATCATGTCATCTAATTACTAAGCTATTAGGTTTGTAGTACAAGAAATAAGTTAAAAAAACAAATAATATAGACTTTCAAGTTAAGATAACTAAATATTCATTTTAGATCCTACACATGGCAGTAGATAAAGCCTGAAAAACATATTAAAAGACTGTCACAAGAAAAGGAGATTTACCAAGTGTATCTGACAAGAATATGTTTTGGCCATAGCTGCTGATCCCAGAATTGTTTATGAATGTCAGGATGAATTTCTAAATCTGTTCAACACAAGTATAGATTAGCCTGCGGCTGTAAAACAATTTGCTTGGATGCAAGCCTCATCCAAAATAAAGAACAAAAAATAGATCAAATCATCTTCAGCGTCTAATCCCCTTAACTTCAAATACTCTTCCCTCACAGAGACTACAAAATAAAGATAATAAAATTATTAAGAGGCTTTCTTGAGGCACAATTACATGCCATGGACCCTCACAAGATTATAGCACCTTGGCAAGAATAATTCACATAATTGTGAAGACTAAACATATATAAGCCAAGTACAGATATGCTTGAATTTTTACTCAATCATGTTACTACACTTTTTGCAATCGAATCCAAACATATGAAATCAGGAACAATTGCAAGTAGCTGCGGAGTAGTAAGCACATTTATATGTAAATTATGTTTGCATTTTCGTCATTCATCCTTGTAAGACAAAGTTTGCAAGCTTAAGTGCCCCCGGGGGGGGGGGGGGGGGGGGGGGG